GAATCTATATTGTTCTGAATGATTGACGTTTACTTGAATTATATTCCTAAAAAATCCTCATCTATTCTGTTTTGATTGTAATTGCAGGTGGAACTCAAAAGACTACAAGCCCTTTTGTGGGGAGCCCGGAATTATTGAAAAGTTCAAAGCCTTTAGTGAAAAGTACAGGGCAAGTACAAAGGTATGATTGATAATCTTTACTTTATGCACTTTCTATCAAAACTAAGAGTTGATGGATCCATGATCCATGAAATAATTACAATTACAAATAAATGCTACAAACATTTAATTTCATATGTTTTTTAATGATTTTTTTTAATCTTAATTTGTTTTCTGTTTGTCAAACCGTGGCAGAGCTATGCTGACTTTTGTGAAACTACTAGTTTAGTACACTATGTTTTTTCTCTCTCAATCTCAATATCTGTATAGGAATGCATTTTAACTGTGAAAAAATATTGGAGCCAAATTTTAGTTTTGGTAAATATACAAGTTTGCATTACTAATCTGGAGTAGTAGGATCAATGACAGCTACACTTAGACACACCTCTTAAGCTAGCTAGTCTGAAATGAGATGATATACACAACGGTGAGCTTGGTGTTAAGCTAACTGAGCCACATATAGTTAGTAGAAAAGCAACAGAAACACTCATGACAAAAACAGCTCCCAAAATATATAACATAAAAAGGAAGCTCCCATGACTGGGTCAAAAAAATAATCTAGAGTTTTGAACAATTGGAGCATTCTTTAGTTAAGTAATAGATAGATTTAAAAAAAGAAATGAATTGTGGTCAATACTTCAAAATCACCTATTTTAAATTATTAAAGTAGGAACATGGGCATCAATAAGTTGGAAAATTTTGATTAATCTACATTCTAAAGAGCCATTGGGTGTTGATGTTGAAATAATAAACTTATAAATTAATATATATATATATATATATATATTTCTAGTATAAAACAAATTTGAAGAAATCTAGCTAGTGTTGGAAGAAAAAAAGTTGCATGTGATATAAAACTTTTTGATTTACCATTACAAGCATTTACAATTCAAAAACAAAAATTAAAGGTAGTTACAAAATTCAGCTATGGATACATAAGCGAAGGATTCAAAACCAAAGAGCTTCACAAATATTCTAACATGTTAATGCTTAAAACATGTAAATTAGTTCCTACTTTGCATTGGAGGCGTCAGAATAATAGCTTCAATTACTTTTACTCCCCCAGAATGAAGCTCTGACTTAGTTCTTTTTCCCTCCAAATATTAAATCCATAGGCCCTGACTCGTTTTTTTTTTTTCTCCATAATCATAGGCCCTAACTGCAAAGCAACTTACAGAAAACCTTTTTTTTTTTTTTCTTTTGGCCTTCTTCAGAAAACAACTTCAAAATACCATTTCATCAAGAGATATAATGAGGAAACTTACTTTAAACATCATGAACCCACATCATTGGAGTGGTCTAAAAGTTTTCTTCTTTGAAATTACAGCCTGGAGGCCAACAAAATGAGCAAAACATAATGTACCATATGTTCAGCTCATCTTTAAATAAATAAATAAATAA